CCTTGTGGTTCTGTGTGTGACAGGGGGCAGGGCCACAACCTCCCTATCCACCCTGTTCTGTTCATGACAGGGGAAGGTGCCCCAACCTCCTGATCAGCCCTGCTCTGTGTCTGATAGGGGGGAACTCCCCAACCCCCTGATCGCCCTGCGGCTCTGTGTGTGACAGGGGGCGGCGCCCCAACCCCCTGATCGGCCCTGCTCTGTGGGTGGTAGAGGGCGGTGCCCCAACCCCCTGATCTGCCCTGCGCTGTGTGTGACGGGGCGGTGCCCCAACTCCCCTATCGGCCCTACTCTGTGAGTGATGGGGGAGATCCCCAACTCCCTGATCAACCCTGCTCTGTGTGTGACAGGGTAAGGAGCCCCAATCCCCCTGATGGGCCCTGCTCTGTGCATGACAGGGGGCAGTGCCCCAACCCCCAGATTGGCCCTGCTCTGTTCTTGACGGGGTGGCGCCTCAACCTCCCTATCGACCCTGCCTTGAGTGTGACGGGGCGGTGCCCCAACCCCCCAATCGGCCCTACCCTGAGCGTGACTGAGGGGGCATTGCAACCTCCTGATCCGCCCTGCTCTGTGCATGACAGGGCGGCGCCCCAACTCCCCAATCGGCCCTGCTCTGAGCCCGACCAGGGGCTGCACCTAGGGATTGGGCCTGCCCTTTGCCACCCGGGAGCAGGCCTAAGCCAGCAGGGCATTATCTCCTGAGGGGTCCCAGACTGCGAGAGGGCACAGGCCAGGCTGAGGGACCCCCCCTTCCCCCTGAGTGCACAAGTTTTTGTGCACCGGGCCTCTAGTGACGATTATAAATGTCCAGTGTATAAGGCTTGTTTCCAATTGCAAACTTCATTCACTCAGATGTGAGATACTTGTCTGTTGGTTATGGGTCCCTTGTCATTTCCTGGTATGGCAAGGAGTAAGTCACCTGTGTCTGTCATCATCTGATGCTTTTTAAAGGAATATTTGAAGACTTAGTATTGTTGCTGTGGTTGGTGGTGTCTGTGTGTTTGTGTGTGTGTGTTACTTTCCTGAATTTACTTTTTCTATGTCTGATACTTTATTATTTAAAAACATCTTTAGATAAATCCTCTGGCTCTTCTTGGTTCCCCAGAGGAGCTTTAAGAAATGCCCTCAGGTGTGCTTTCCCCCATAGAGTTGGACAGCTCCTCTATGTGGGGCATCATGGGTTATTGAGGTGCTCTAGGTGATTGGAAGGTGAGGACAGGGATTAGCTGCAGGGTTGCAGGATGCCTTTGTGAGAGTGGGGAGCAAGCTTTGTTCAGGGGAGGTAAGGGGCTGCTCTTTGGTTTAGGAGGTCCGGATAGCAGCCCACCTTCTCATTTCTGTAGGAGTTTGTGAAAGTCTTTGGGAGGAGAGGCGCATGAACACATACACTCGAAAATTCATAGTGTGGTCTCCATGTAGGAGCTCATTGTTCCTGTCTCTCTCCTGTGACCCAGGACAGGAGGGTTGTCCTTTTCCTCATTTCCAGGTCCTTCTGACTATGAATGTGAGGTGAGCTGATTAAAAGGCTGTGACTCCTCAACATAGTGTCACCTGAGGAAACAACCCAGACCGTGATCAGGACCAGGACCCAATGGCTGCTTCTCAGGTATCAGATGTGTCCTCTGTCAGATGCTGTGTTTGCTTTTCCTCTAACATCTGGTGATTTATTTCTCTTTCTGGGTGTTCTTGCCTTTGCAGGTTGTTTTTGTTTCTTATTTCATTACTTAATTGATCATAGTCAATGTCAGCAGTTTCTATATTTCTCTCTTTTTTTGTGTGTTTTTCTTTTTTTTCCTGACTCTCTTTTTTAAAAACTATTTTTATTGATTTCAGAATGGATAGGAGAAGGAGAGAGAGAGAGAAATATCAATTACGTTAGAGAATTATGGATCAGCTGCCTCCTGCTCCCCACCCTGCACTGGGTATGGAGTGAGCCCTGACTGGGAACATAAGCCTGCCCTCCTGGTTCATAGGTCAGCCCTTTACATCTCAGCCACACTGGCTGGGCTGTAATCCCCTCCTTTGTGCCAGAGCCGTGTCTGCACTCATTTTGTCACTCTCACAGGTCAGGAAGCATTCCTACCTTTAGTTAGCGACTTTCAACTAATCAAAACATTTCTTTTGTGACAGATCAAACTTGGAAGGCAGCCATGTCTAACATCCCTACTGAAATGGGGTCAGAGGCTCAGGCATCAGTGAAGAAGGAAAATGCAGGTTTTAGGTTCACGTGGCTGCAGCATGAGCTCTAGGTCAGGGGTAAGAAGATGCATATTTTACTGCTCAGAATAGCTCAGAAAGCTCTGAAAAGAAGGGCAAATAGAAGAGACTTGCTCATTAGATTACTACGAAAGACTTGGGAAGTAAATGTACTATTTGCTTACATAACATGAAAGGTACACGTGAATTGACACATGCAAAAATAAATGTTTATTTGTGATCATTTCCACAAACTTTTAAAATTTATTGAGGTATTTTTTGCAGTAATGTCACACCAGTGATGACCTGACCTTCCCTGTGCTTTAGTCACTTGATGCCCTTTGTCTCAGTCCACCTGATCTTTACATGGCAGAGGTGCTCCCCTCACTGTAGTAGCGATTTAATGAATGTTGTGCAAAGACCATCACTTCACATCTGGCAGTGTCCGTCCTCTTAGATAGTGTTTGCTTTAGAAAATGAAAGACTTACTTTTCTTTCCTACAGATCATTAGCTTTTGCATGGGAGCTGTAAACAATTAGGCCTTGATTCTTTTCTTTTTTTTTTTTTTAATATATTTTATTGATTTTTTACAGAGAGGAAGGGAGAGAGATAGAGTTAGAAACATCGATGTGAGAGAAACATCGATCAGCTGCCTCCTGCATATCTCCTACTGGGGATGTGCCCGCAATCCAGGTACATGCCCTTGACCGGAATCTAACCTGGGACCTTTCAGTCTGCAGGCCGACGCTCTATCCACTGAGCCAAACCGGTTTCGGCAGGCCTTGATTCTTTACATTTTCCTTTATTATATTCTTCCATCATGAACATACCCTACATGGTCACTTTTTGTACTTTCTAGAAAGTTTCCAAGAATGATATCATTAATGTCTGATCAGTTTTTCTAAATTTCTACAACATAGCTCTCCACTAATGATATGTAAAAATTTTGAAAAAAATGTATTAGTAAGGAAAAATTAGTTCCCCCAGGCTGGTGTGGATCAGTGGTGGAGGGTTTGATTCCTGTCCTAGGGCAAGTAGCTCCTGGGTACCTATGGTAGGCAACCAATCCATGTGTCCCTGTCTCTCTTCACATTGACCTCTCTCCCCTTTTCCTGCCTCTACCTTCCTGCCTTTCACTCTCGAAAAGTCAATGGAAAATATCTCCCCAGGGGAGCATTTACAACCACACAAAGGTAACAGTGTGCCTTTTTGGCTTTATATCATTAAGTTTCTCTCTGTATTGTATTTATAAAACACAAAGGCGATCATACACAAATAGATTCATGAGATTTACACACTCACTAAGCCATTTTGATTTCATAGTTGTAAAATATGTGTCTCTGTGCCTAAACTGTTAACTTTATGTTAGCTATTTTTTTTTGTGTTTTTTTTCCCCAAGTATATTTTTATGTATTTCAAAGAAGAAGAAGAGAGGTAGAAAGAGATAGAAACATCAATGATGAGAGAGAGTCATTGACCGGCTGCCTCTGTACACCCCATACTTGGGATTGAGCCTGCAACCTGCTCATGTGTCCAGAGCAGGAATTGAGTGAGTGACCACTTGGTGCATGGGTCAGCACGCAACACTGAGCCACACCAGCTGGACCTGGCCGAATAATCTTCTATGATTACTCAGTAAATTTCCAAATTGGATTGTAGTTCCTATGTGTCCTATTCCATGAGAACTGAATTCCATTAATAGACACTTTTAGTTCAAAGTTCTGTATGAATTTTTGCTTGTGTTTTCTTTTTCTGGGTATTCAGAAGTTTGGCACATCATGCGGGAATATTGGCATCACAAGTAAAAAGTGAGCTTGTGACACATGTGCAAACACAGGCCCCATCTCAGAACCTGGATCAGCATCTGTATTTTCACAGAAGTTCATTTCGTTGTGGCCTGCTTCACACTTGAGAAGAACTCCATATACTTCCAACCAGCATGACCTTTCCCGCTGAGAAATATACATCACTGACCCTGAACGATGCAAATACAGCCTTCAGAAATCCATGTGCATTACTGAATTTTAAAGGTTATTTTCCTGTAAAATAAAATCTGTACTGTGGTTTTGTGGACATGTGTCATCCTCGTGTGTCAGTTAGAAAACACGTCAGAGAATGTTACTGGGGCAAAGTGATCTTACTGGATAATTCAGGATATCCCATAGGTCAAAACCTCTTCTCCTGCCACTCTTTTCATGTTGGGTGACATTATGAACTCTTTTGGAGACCTCTTGGTAAATGTGTGTTTTCTTTCAGGGACCGTTGACCTTCAGGGATGTGGCCATAGATTTCTCTCAGGACGAGTGGGAATGCCTGGACCCAGCTCAGCGGAAGTTGTACATGGATGTGATGTTGGAGAACTACAGCAACCTGGCTTCCCTAGGTAAGGATGACTTCCTTCCCAATTTCCTACTCCATCCCCAGGGTTTTCTTTCCATTATTATTTTATCATCTCTCAGGGGCTTCTGCTTTTTCTGTTAGATTCTTGCTCTCGAATTACAAATTGGGCCTTAGCTGGTTGCACTCAGTGGATCGAGTGCAAGCCTGCAGATTGAAAGGTCCCAGGTTTGATTCCTGTCAAGGGTCAATGCTGCCTCCCTGCTCAGTATGGTGTGTGCAGGAGGCAGCCAGTCAACAATTTTCTGTCATCCTAGATGTTTCTCTCTCTCTCTTCCTCTCCCTTCATTTCTGAAAGCTATAAAAATATACATTTTTAAAAAGGGAAACAAATTGGGGGCAGAACAGAAAGGCTTTGTGAAGTATGTGAATTAGGAACTCAGTGCACACTTTACATAGTGTATACACTATGATCCTGTCTAATAAAAGACAAAAATGGTAATTGGCGAACGACCAATACCCTTTTCATTGGCTAATCAGGGCTATATGCAAATTAACTGCCAACTAAGATTGGCAGTTAACTGCCAACAAGATGGCGGTTAATTTGCATATGTAGGCACAATGCAGGGAGGTGAAAGGGAAAGCAGTCAGAAGCCCCCTGCCACT